AAAAAATGTCAGTTACGCGGTTTTGCAGAACGACGATACGCGGTTTTGTGATTTAAACGACGATATGTATGTATGTAAGTTTATGTACTTTTATACCCCTGCAGGAAAAGCGTCAATACAAAGTAAAATGCATGTTGTACATTTACATAAGGGCGTTGCGCGAGGACCACCTTATGATTTTCCATCTGATTTCCCGCGCCTTTTCCCTTTTAAAAATTAATACAAGTTAGTTAACATTCCGAAGCTCACAACGACAGTAAACCACCAATATTTTTAACATAAAATACGTCTTACTTTTCGACACGGATCCATTGCTAAAATGTTGCAGTTGCGAATCTCAAAGAAACCTTTGGCTGAAATAAGCAATTTATGCGGTTAAAAGTCCAATTTTCAATTTTTGCTTTCAAATTTTTAACAGGCGGACTTTATCCTAGATGCTCAATTTAGAAAATAAATTATAAACTTACGACCGCAACGTAACCCTGGTCCTATATCGGTCAACCTAAATTGTGAATTTTAGTTTTAGTTTGTGCTAGAATTTTATTATACTAATCTGCAGTGCAATGCGGATCGCATATAAAAAGTCTGAAGTCTCATTATTTTAGGAAAAGAAAATAATACAAATGGGTATGTACTATTGACTGTAACAAATGTTTACGGGATGTACATAGCTCAGTGGTTAACGCTTCTGACTTTGAACATCGAATTCGCAGGTTCGATCCCTGCTGAAGTCTAGAAAAAAGAAGTCTGATGAGGAGATGTGGTGATCTCCGAAATAGTGCTATAACTTCTACCGCTTAGACTTTGTTGCTTTTTCAATTTTTCCTAATAAACAATCGTGGTACAAAGCTCAATAAAAATATTAAAAGTAACAAATGTAGTTTTAAAAACATTCGTGTTTATGAAAAATTCACTGTTTCAAAGTGCGTGTTGTGATTATACAAATTTAAACATATTGTTCTTGTTTCGTGGATTGCGACTTTTTCTGTCCGATATATATACCCAATAAAAGGATGTTATGTCTGCTTTCATTTGGTGTATTAATTATTTGCTCCAACTGGCTCCTGTTTGATAAAAATTACTATTTTCAGAGGTCATCAAAGTAAAAAAATGAACAAATATTTAACGTGCGCATGGACCGAAAGTTAATTTTTTGAAATGAGACATACATGCTTTTACCACAGATTCGAATTCTGCGTACCAAAATATGTAACTTTTGCCAGAAATTAGTAAGACTGCTAGATATTATATAATGAGACAAAAAGTAGCATTTATGGGTATTTTATGTACTTCGACTATTGAATAACAGATGGCGCTGGTCAAGGCCAATATTTATTCGCTTTTTACAGATGTTTACAAATTAAGTTTAACTTAAATAAAGTCAATTAGAAAGCTCAAATATGTATCATCATATGGGTGTCATATGAAAGAGGTTTTATTTTCTTTACCATTTATTTATGGTATATTCACAACAACCAGAGGTTGTGGTTTGAATATTTAGAACAGGGCTGTCATCTGTTTACAAATTTAAATACAATGTATGATAATAATAATAATAGTTTGGCGCTTACACTTCTGCTAAGTGTTGGGCCGAGATTGCCTTCCAATTTGTGTCCCTTTTAGCGTTAGGCAGATTGTTTCATACCTAATCCTTGCAAAACGGGGCAGAAGCACAAAAAGTGTTCTACCGCCTTATCTTCTTCAAGGAAGGATGGGCAAATGGAGTTGTCATGTACGCCTCACCACAGTCAGGTGTTTGTGCCATGTGAAGTGAGTCCAAAAAGTAGTCTGCAGTCCATCTGCTCAGTGAGAGCAAAAAACTAGACAGACCCTCTGAGATTGAAGGCAACGTGAGTTTTGCCCACCTGCAGCCCTTCGATTGCACCCAGTCAAGGATGAGCGAAGTATTCACCCAGTTTATGATACTGGCGTCGACGGGCAAAGGTGGCAGTGCTATAACTGGTTGCGCATCGGGGAATACCTAGTCTAAGCCAACTGTGGCCAAATGGTCAGATGTCTCATGACCAGATACTTCTGAGTGAACCGGCCCCCGAGTAAAACAAGCTCGATATATTTATTTACCAGCACAATTTAGTCGAGACTTCCATCGACGAACTAGTTTGGAATAAATTAGAGGGATGTACAATGACTTAAGTGCAGCTTGGCTGTCACTGCAGACACTCCACTCTCCACTCTCCTCCACTTATTTTCGACCATGTAGCCCATGACCTTGAGGATTGCAAATACCTCGGTCTAGAAGACCGAAGTATACTCTCCAATAGATCGGGTTGTCGCAACTTCGGCGTCGGCGACATTATTGGCAGCGGTGGCATTAATAGCCGTGAAAGAAATTTACTTCACCTTGTCATCAACTGTTATTAGTGCGCAGCGGCATTTACGAAGTATACGATACACACTTCCTGGTTTTCCATATTGGCGGATGAGGTGCTCCGTCTAGGTGAAACACCGAAATGACCATCGACCACCGAATATTTCCCTGTTTGGTTAGCGCAGTCAATCTTTCTTGGCACTTCCTCGACGACCTCTTCAAACCCTAAGAAGTCCTTCCGCTTCAGCTGCGTGGCCGTCGGAGCGAACTCAATTCGAAGATTGGCTTAATGCTGCGACGGGGCTATTTATGCTTGTTCGTTGGTGAACTCATTTTTAGAATTTTAAGTTTCCTATTAGTTTAAATTTTATTTGGGTTAACACCCCAACTGAGCTAAAAACAAGGCCAACTCCATTGGTTTTCTCGGTAATAATAATACCGCTTTTATTTCAAGCGTCGCCGGAGTATCCTATTTCAACGGTTACATGGTTGCATTTTCTAGGACCAAAGGCTGAGTTATTTCTATTGTGAACTTATACTAAGTGTAACTAACACTAACAAATTATTTGCAAAGGTCATATAAGGAATGCATTAAGGGACAATGGTCTCTTCCTATCACATTGTTCTGCTAAATTCTAAATTCACTTGAGCTGGTTCAGCTTCTCTACAGGGAGGATACAAAGGATAGAGCTGCTGACAGCAAGTGATTATACCCTGCATGAGACAGAAGTTCGGTACGGAACTGATGGAGCTGACAGAATGTCACGCTGACTGCTTGACTGGAATGAAGCAAAATAAAAGCGTTAGCTGTAATAAAATAAAATAGCGCATATTTATGTGTCTGCCTTGATGATGATGCTCCTTTCAGCAGCGCGAGATGTACACGAAATTGCTTCCTCCTACTAGTAACTTCAACAGCGGGGATGTGCGCACATAAATTCAATGGAGCTATTCTCGCAAAGGATGGCGTTAAGGTATTGACGTCGATTGCTTTACTGCTTATTTAGCTTACATTTGTTTTGCCCATTTTAACGGGTTGCCTTCTTGTTAGTGACATACATAAGGAATTCTTACAACAAAAAATAAAAGGCAACAACAAAACCAGCCACATAGTTACAGCGCATTTGCGGAAAGGAAAACAATGCAAACGACATTAAGGAAATGAAAGGTAGTACAGTCAGTTGTAGTGCAGGAGATGGGAGTGGTTAAGGCTATGAAGGAAAATGTAAGCAGAAGTAGCTGAGATAATGCTTCGAATTGTCTGTGAAATTGTTAGTGGTTGTTTGCATAAATTCTGCAGGATAAAGCTTATAAAGCTGCGCTAGTAGAGTGGCAAGATGCTAAGATACTACTAAAATGCATAATGGCTTGAAACGATAAAAAAAAGCCAAACACAGGATGAGTGGTTGCTGGAAGAGGACGTTAATGCAAAATAAGAAGGCGTTTATGTAAAGAAAATTAAATGATTTTTAAGCTGTGAGTATGTATTTATGTATTTTCGAACAGTAATTAGGTATTTCCGGCTGCCCAGGCTTGCAACATTGTACGATATTTTACTAGAATTCAACATAGTAGGAATAAAGTTAGTGGAATATTAAGATGATCCAAGAATTGCAGGAAATATAGCGCCACTTTTACTAAGAAAAACCCTTGAGAAAGACTTGTGCTCCTGCAGTAAATCCGCTAGATCCCATCAAAGCATGGAAAAAAGTGCAGAGCAATGCATCTCATATTGTGACTGAGAAAGTTGCGAGGTAGAGATGCAAAACTAACGATGACGTAATCGATACCACTATCGCCACTATCGATTGGTTTTTGGGTACTAACACACATGTGTGTTGTGCACACCCGGTACAAGGGAATCTCCTTCGCCCGGAAGATGTGTAGAACCAAACAGATGATGAATATATTCCACCAGGAAATACATCGAAATCGGAGTACAATCTTTAAGTGAATTCTGAAGAAAGTGATGTTGCCAGTGAATATTCCGATGGTTATTCTGAAGAAGAAGGTGAATTAGATGCAAAAGTCAGTTAGAAAATGGTCACGTCATGAAAAGAAGCAATTTCCGAAATGTGGAAAAAAGATGCGAGTTCTACATGCTGCCATGGCACAAACCAGATTTGCCCCCATTCTTCAGTTTATCAGGTTTGACGATAAATCAACACCTGCTGAAAGAAAATCGACAGATAAGCTAGCACGCTACTTGAGGCTTGGAAATTTTGAGTAGAAAGTTGTAAGAAACTCTTCTAGCTATTCGAAGATATTACAGTGAGGAACCAGTCAAAACCATAAAACTACGGGCAGTCGCGACGTATAAACGTCATATTTTTGAATTTGTACAATATGTGTGTATTGTAACGAAGCGTTTTCCTATTAAGGCCCCGATGCTTCTGTTTTCTATGCTGGGGTATACTCGCCGTGCCCAGGGTCCGTTACAATAAATTTATATTGTGGAGCCTTTGCAAATAGTACTTTATTTAATTGCTGCTTATTCTCTATCACGTGGAAATTCTTAACATTACAAACATAATATCATTAACGGGACGTAAATTCCTAACGGTGCTATTCTATCGGCGCTGCTGTATCGCCGCTCTGTCGCTGTGCGACGTCGGCGCTCTGCTTCTGTGCGACGTCGGTGCCCTGCTACCAGGCGCTGCTGTGTCGGCGCTTTGCTAGTATGTGACGTCGGCGTTACTATGCCGGCCCTCTGCTTCTGTGCGATGTCGGCGCTCTGCTATGCCAGCGCACTGTTATCCCACGATCGGGCGTCGCTGTCGCGCGTGTTCGCGGTGGACTGTGGCGTGGCGGCGCTCTACCCTTGAATAGCCAAGCCTTGTGTAGTCGCCTATCCACAAGTCGAGCGCTATTCGTTTGTAGCTGTGCGTTCACGACCACAGCTCCGTTACTGACGCGTAGACTGCTGGCGCTCCCCGTTGGAGCGCGGCTGCCGGGTGACTTCGGCGCTTCTCCGTTAGTGCGCGGCTGCTGGGTGACTTCGGCGCTTCTCCGTTGGTGCGCGGCTGCTGGGTGACTTCGGCGCTTCTCCGTTGGTGCGCGGCTGCTGGGTGACTTCGGCGTTGTGCTGGTGGGCGAACTGGCGTCGCCGTCGGCTGACTCACGGTGTACTGCGAAGTGGCGGCACTCTACCCTTGAATAGACAAGCCTTGTTTAGTCGCCTATAAACAAGTCGTGCGCTATTCGTTTGTAGCTGTGCCTTCACGACCACAGCTCAGTGCTGACTGCCTCGTATGTTTCTGTGTCACTTCTGTTATAGCTGGTGTTCTTCGTGTTGCTGAGTTGTGTGGCT